TACTAGGGGCTCCTGGCCTTACTACTAGGAGCAAGGACGCTGCTATCATCAAGATATCCATTGAAACCCACTGAAAACCGCCTGATCGATGGCCCCTTCGGACGGATGGCGATCCGTCCTCGTTTCGGACGGATCGGATGACTGCTCTTCCATCAGTGGGTCCATGTGTGCCCGATCCGAAGAGTCCTGAAAAGCTGGACTCGCTCAGCCAAGACTTCGACATGAAAGCAGCAATATCTCTGTTGAAGAACGAACCACACTGGCCGTGCTTCAAAGATAACAATTATATACAATTATATCTTCTTTGCAAGTTACCAGGTGGCCTTGGACAATACATTTTGTAGTACAGAGCGGCTTGCGCAACCTCTTTTGCTACAAAATGGAAAGCACCATGCAAAAACACAGCGCTACAAAATGACCTATGGATTTATGGTGCACTACAAAATCAAGGGCCCCAACCATTCTATATGAAAAAACACATACTGTATGGGATTTAGAGCTATTACAAAATGTATTGCACAACCTCAAGCATGCCCCTCAGCAAGCGCCAAAAAAACGCTCACTACAAAAAGTCCCGGCGGTACAGCAGCGGGCATGCTGATAGGACAACACTGTAGTATTTTCCTGGATTTAGATCTATGCCGGTACATCTAGCATGCCCCTCAGTGCGCTTTTCAAGCCAAAAGTTTGGCTGCATATTCAAGTCAATCTCTACAAAATGAAAGGCCCAACCTCTCTTCTTGATCAAGTGGCTCTGTACAAAAAAATGAATTGCCTGAGGTTCAGAGTTCTCCCAAAAAAAAATGCCCGGCAACATCCCTCTACAAAATGTTCTGCCTGACGTCTGGGGGTGCATTTCACAGCATCTTACTAAAGAACGCAATGGGACACGCAAAATGTCATTTTATACAAAATGCACCGTTTTGGGGTTTTGTAGTGGCCTTGAGGCCACCCATTTGGTAGTGGAAATTGGCACGAGGATACAATTATTATTACCCTTCTATTCAGCACTTATATAAGAGGCACAAGCAGTGTATGTTGAGCGACAGAGAGTCACACGATGTCACACGTCACACACAACCTACAGGTAGGTCGTTCACGACGGGATTGTTTTTGCATGCCCCGCTCCGATGCTCACTGCGTCGACACGCATGGGATCACATGGGATCAAAGTGGATCAAAGGATTTAAAAGAAAGCAATAAGAATGAAAACGATTATCTTTTCCGAATCCCAGCTCTGAGCTTTGAACTGCATCCAGCCAGCCCGGCCTCAAGCAGCACGGGGGGGGCGTAAAAGTCCGGAATCTCTTGATGCGAGCTGAAGAAGAAAACAAAAAGGAGCCGAAGAAGTGGCCAGAATGAACTGCTTAGTGCACGTATATTATGTGTCTGGCTCCTCTGAGCAGCTAAATAAAGTGATAGACATTGAAATGCGTACGACTCAGTCAGCCTCGGTCCCGGACTCTTCGAGCGAGGGCATGCTCGATCCCGCCTGGGAGGCGAAAAGCGACTCCAAAGGCTGGACTTGTGAATTCACCCGGGCTCAACATCTGGGGATGGATCAAAACTCCGGGATCTGCTGGCAACCTGAGTTCACCTACCGACGTGACGGTCGTTCGCATAGTGGAGCAGCGCTCCAGGTGTTCCCGACCTGTCCCCACATCTGTGTCAAGTCCGGCCTTTTGAACTCAGTCCTGCAAAGCTGTCTCAACTCAAAAATACCCTGGCCGCCCTGTAAAGCTCAACCATAAAAAAGCGGTTTAGTTTCTATGACATGTTACATGTTTCTACGCTTCATAATCATTGCCGATTCGCGCTTGGTGCTTGCCCTAGCTTTTGAGCTGACCCATTTGCTGATTGGTCGCAGAAACCAAGCTTCAGACCTCGCCAACCTCCTCCGTGTCCGGAGATTCCAGCCTTGGGAAGTCTCTCTGCGTATCGCTGCGCATTGCACCAGTCTTCCACAAAGGTTGTGAGGGGTAGTATGAACCTGTTAACTGCCAACGATTAACCACCGGAATATGATGTGGCAAAAGTTGTAATCATATTCCCCGAGTTGTTCCTCCAAGCTCTCTTGGTGGCAGGCTCTTCAATGGGCGCGGTCTCTGGCCCATCCCAGAAGTCCTTGGCAGCTGTTCTGTGCTTGAGAAGACGTCTCTTCGCTAAAGACACAAACACCCTGCACGATGGTGTAATGCACGGCTTTCTTAATCATGTCCTCCAGATATCCCAAACAACACAATAAAACAATCTAAACACAGAATCTACATTGCATAGCACATACAACCACCTGACATGCCAACATCATGTTCATGACCTCCCGAAGGCTGAAACACAGCAGTTTTCCAAAGCAAAGGCCTCGCCGATCGGCCCAGAAGGCGAAGGAAGAGCCGAGTCCAGCCTTGGCTCACCGTTCGGTAGATGATCTTTGTGTTCTTCAACGTACATACTGGCGATGGCCTCCAACCTACTAGTGATTGCCTCCAACCTACTAGCGATGGCCTCCAACCTACTAGCGATGCCCCAGGTGATGCGGATAAAACCTGTGCGTAGCTTTGCTGTAGATACTGTAGATGATGATTGTTTGTCAAAAAAATGCCTGGACTGTGTTGGGTGATCATGTGATCAGTAGAACAGAACCGAATGGCCACGGGGGGAACCTCCAAATGAGGGTTTTCTCTTCTGGACTTGCCAATTGCCTCAACAACAGGCGAGTTGGAGTTTCATGGAGTTTCATGGATGCGATGTTGGCCACCAGGTGGGGCATCCAGGGATATCTATATATTAATAGGCTATGCGTGCTCAGAAAAACGCCGAAGAGTCGAGTCGAGTCGAGGACGCCGTCGAGTACGCAGAGCGTACTCAATGTGTCTCTGATGTCTGACCGGTTTGGTCACGCGGAGCCTGCGTCAAACTCCACACAGAGCCCAATGGTGTTACAGGTCCCGTCTTGTGTTCTTCATGTATGAAAACACAGGTCCCGTCTTTCCCAGTTTTCGGTTTCTCACGTGAGAAATTCCCCACCTGTGTTTCAGGAGCTTTTGCTTGCCCCTTTGGTGTTTCAACGAAGGTGAGAAAGTAGCTTTAGGGCAGGACGGCATGTCGGACAAGGTCCCGTTCACTGGGGACCAGCACCCCGTGTGAACGGGTGGTGTAACATGGGTCACATCAATGCCCCGTGCATCCTCTTCAGTCCCTCATCCTTTCTACCATGGATTTCGGAGGACTCTCCCATGCGACGAGGTCCGTTTGAACCAAACAGCAAGCACACGAGGTCAGTCGGGCAAAGCGTGAGGTCCAAGAGACGCCAGCGCTGCCAAGAAAGGAAGAAAACGCATGGGAGCCATTACAGAGCACTGGAATGCGCTGGATTGATTTTTTGGTGAAACGCCTGCTGCTGCTGCGGCTGCTGCTGACCTGCGGTCATTGGATCATTAATCTACAGCTATCCTGAAGCTGCCAAAAGACTACTCGCTGGTGGGCATTTGGATTTTGGGTCCATCACTATAGATGGTTGAAACAAATTGCCTGGAAGCATAGTCAACAGTACTGAACTCCAAAGGTGGTGCTTGGCATGCACTGCACTGGCCCGGGCATGGCCATCTCTGCGATCCAAACAGCTTGAACGGAGATCGATTGCAAAGGAAGCCTGAAATTCTTAGACCCAAAAGCTCCATACATATAAAACAATCCAAACAAGGACATCAAAATCCACCGAAGGGGTGGGCAAACTGACACAAAGGAACATGAATCAACTAAGCAGTCATCTGGAATCGGATGTTTTGGACATCAATGTCACAGTCCTCTTCCTTGATTCCTGAAACGCCCAATTCAAGGACTGCTGTAAGCATTGTAAGCGCTGTAAGCTACTCATCCCCTTCAGTTTCTACTCGTCTAAAGTTCCCTTCAGTTCATCCTGTCCCCACATCACCATGATATGTTTTGCAGGGAATGATGGGGTCATCTCCTTGAAACAAAAAACATCAAAAAAACAACAGGCCCAGCGAGGTCAGACCCCATGTCTTTTTGACCCCTGGGTTTAAAACCCATCTCTCAATGCCCAACCGACCCCACAATGCCCAACCTCCAACATGCGGCAGGCATGCTCGGAGGTTGCATGATTCTGCAAGAATTGCACCTGCACGCTGCGCGTGGCGCGACGGTGACGGTGCGTATCACTGGGACTCAGCCCGTGTGGGTGACTCGAAGTTCCAAACCAACACCACTAAAGGAATGGAACACGATTAGTGAAGTTTGTGTTTACTTCTGAATGCATTTTCTATGTTACAATGATATATTGTCTGGAGTCTGTACCACCTCCCCAACAAAAAGAACATGAATAGTTACATTCTGATCAGGGAGGGGGAAATGAATGAATCCGGAGCTCAAAGTAGGTACAAGTAGACCGTGATGGACCAGCACCTCGTGGTAAAACAGGTGATCCCAATCGCAAGTGGTCGAAGTGAGTGCCAGTGCTACAAAATGAGATGGGTCTCCTAGAATCTTTCAGTAGCGTTCACACGATGCCATAGCATGCCATATCCAAACAGGAACATTACCTAATTACAAACATTCAAATAGTAAAAGAACACCAAGTCCAACTCAAAATACTAGTTACATCTAGTTACTAGTCACCAATGTGACGGCTTGCTTTCATCTGCTCAGAATTGGCTAACTTCGGCTCCTTCCTCTTCAGCTCCACAGCAGCTCTTCGGCTCCCCGCCCTTCGCTGAGCGCTGAGGCGCCCTGCGCTGAACTGCATCAGCGCCGCCACGTCAAAGCGGACGGCGACGTCCAGAATGGACAGCACCTGGAGACGGCGAACATCGCCCGTTCGACTCGCTCGGCGACCACCCTGGGCGACCAGCGGACCGGACGCGCTGAAGGAGGGCGACCGGACGGAAGGGGGCCAACCTGAGGAACTGCTGCACGGTCTAACTACAGGTTTATGAGGAATATAAGAGACAGGATTTAAGCGCTTCCCCCTGCTAAGGTTGGAGTAGTTTCGACGGATATCGATTGGTTCAGTGAGCGTCCTTGTTTTCATCCCCAGAGTCCAAACCGGGGGGGGCAACGTCCGTGGCGTCCTTTTCACTTCCCTGAAATGCAGAGAGTTCTTGACTCGTGCTCTCACCTATTGCATGGGAGGACCAGGGAGAGCTTGCTAGGCCACCAAAGTGATGGTCATGTGATTTAAAGCTAGGAAGTCCCGTGTAGATCTATTGAGTGTATATAATATATATAATATAACATAATATAATATAATGAATATAATATAACATAATATAATATAATACACTATACTATACTACAATGTAATATTATATCTATATATATATTCTGAAAGTCATGCAGTCCCCTGTCCAATTTCCATCATGTTCAATCTGTCTCAACCTTGACCTTCAAGAACAATCAAGAACAAATCCCAAC